ATGATCTAAGCCAAGCCCTTCGGGTAAGCCAGGAGCCTTTACAGGAGGTGCTAGGAAAAAGGTGACCTTTTTTTGTGGGAGTTACTAGCTGAGAATATGTCAGCTTGGAGCTACATTCTGTCAACACACAGGGAGGCCCACTTCAAAAAGTAGCCAGAAGAAATGAGTCTGAGGATGGAGAGCGATGCATTCCTGATGCAATTGTTGAGATACCTGGATTTGGCTGTACCTGAAACTCACATCTCCTCTCCTCTCTCCTCCAGTCCCCTCCTCTCCTGCCGTGGGCAGTGTGCATTGATTTGAGATGATTTCATTCACTTTCAGCTAAAAGTTCAGATCAATTCATCCTTATGGCTAGAGTCAAGGACCTCTCACCCTGGGCTCCTAGACATTGGAGCTTCCCTTACTCTACTTAAAAGACTGCACCTGGCATTGCTACCCTACCCCTGATTTTTACCCCACACTTTTGCCAACCTCCTCTCCTGTTTCTTGAAACCAGAGCTATGTCATGGTCATCTCTACATGCAGAAACCTCCCATAAGGAGATGCTCAGTGAATAATCGCGTAAGGAATGAGAAAGAGCCTTCTGGTTGGCTACAGGACTTGATTTGTCAAGCTCTCTTGAATCACTTTTCTGGGGGAAGTCATACTGCCATAATCTAAGGATACTTAGGCATGTATCCTTAACCTAAGTTTTAAGTATCCTTAGGTTATGGCAATAGGACTTTCCCCAGAAATGTGATTCAAGAAAGCCTGATGGAAGAAAGAACAGTCACATTTTCAGAGACCTATTTTCTGAGATCTAAGTTCCCTCAAGACCTCAAAGGACTTGACAAAGTGTTATTGTATTTTAATCTCTCTATCCGGACCAGGCTGAGCTAGCCACTCCTTTGGAACACAAACCAGTCTCCCATTACAGAAAAACAAATCTGACCTAGCCATTCCCTGCCTAAAACAACTTTCAGTGATGTTTCTGATAGGAGTAGGTAGAAGAGAACAGCCTGTGCACTCGGGGAAGCTTCTCTCCATAGGGCATTCTGTTGGTTTTGGATTGATTACGGATTGATCTATTCAGCTAGCATCTCACAATAGGTTTTCAGGATGGTGTGTTTGTTACCTGTTGGTATGTGCTGCATCATCGATCAGGACAAACTTGGGGGCTTAAAACAATAAACATGGGGCTGGAGAGATGGCTCAGTGGTTAAGAGCACCCACTGCTCTTGCAGAGGACCTGGTTTTGAGTCCCAGCACCCACATGGCAGTTAACAATCATCCATAACTCCAGTTCTAGGGGATCTGACACCCTCTTCGGACTCTGCGGGCATTGTACGATGCATATGCACTTACACACATGCAGGCAATACACTCATACATAAAATGAAAATAATAAAACATTAAAAACAACAACAGGGGCTGGAGAGATGGCTCAGCGGTTAAGAACACTGGTTCTTGCAGAAGACCCAGGTTCGAATCCCAGCCCCACATGGTAGCTAACAACTGTCTTTAACTCCAGTTCCAGGGGATCCGACAGCCTCTTCTGACCTCCTAGGGCACTGCATGACACAGGTGCACTTACCTACATGCAGGCACACATACATATACATACACACATACACGTAAAATAAAAATAATAAAAATTTAAAAAACAACAAACATTTGCTGTCTGCAGAAATCTAGCTGTGATTCAGCTGGATGCCTCCAATCCAAGGCATCTCAGAGGCCCAGTCAAAGTATCTGCCAGGGCTGTAATGTCCTAAGGTACATCTGTGGCTGAATGAGCTCTATCCAAGCTTCTGGATGTTATAAAGCCTGAGAAGATTCACTAGCAAGCTCTCGCATGGGGTTCTCCATGAGGCAGTCTCATAACACAGTTGCTGCCTTTTCTAAGCAACTGACCCAATAGACCTTGTTGAGTAAGTATGAGACAGACTGTGGTTTATAACCTAATCTCAGAAGAAACATCAACCTGCCATGTTCAGTTCATGAGACATAAGTTAGTGAGTCTAGCCGGTATTCACAGGAAGGAGATGACGCAGAGTCTGAGCACTGGGAAGTGCAGCCATGAGGGTTGCCTCAGGCTATCTGCCACAGGTAAGGAAGGAATTACTACCCTGTGTTTCAGGCATAGACTCAGCCAGTCAAGCAATGCCTCCAGCTCACCCAGCTAGAGACTTCTGGACTCCAAAAGTGATTTTCCTTTCCCCAGGCTGACTGGGATGAGATAGAGGAAGACTAGGAGAATGAATTGACAGAATGAGGATAAAGGCCATGTGATCTTTGACTGTAATGGAACTGGTTACCCATGATTCAGTAGTTTAAACAAGTATTTTCATACAGTTTCTAGAGATCAGGAATTCAGGAACAGCTTAGCTGGGTGGTTCTGCCTCAGGATCCCTCCTAGGACAGGAGTTAAAGTGTGGGCCAGGCTGTGGCTTTGATGCTTGACCTTGAGGCTCAGCTTCCGGGGTGGCTCCCCCCTCCCGGGCTGTGGCAGGAAGCCTTGCTATACGAACCCCTCTAAGAGAATCATGCCTAAGTATCCTTAGATTATGGCAGTAGGAAGTAAGATACCCTTAGGAAAGTGATTCAAGAGAGCCCTTGACGGAAGGCATGGAGTATTTTGTAACCTACCCTCAGGAGTCAAACCTTCTGTAATATCCTGTTGGATACAGGCCAGACCTATTCATTGTAGGAAGTGATTATACAAGGGGCTGGGGATGCCAGGTGAGGTCCACTGGAGGCTAGATACCACAGGGTCCCACAATCCCCAAACTCAGCTGTCACTAGTCACCATTATACTCAGAGACCCAGAGTATTCCCAGGAGTTGCATCACACAGTTTCCTTCACTCTGTCTTCCATTGTCTTCTGGGTGGATGGACACATGGGATGACAGTCTGCTTTGCTTCCAAACCTCAGAAGTCACCACAGATCTTTTTGTTGAAGTACCCCTACTCCACATCTACCCTCTCTGTCCTGTGGACAGCCTTTCTCCATGCCTTCCACATGTCCCTCTCTATACACATGGAGGCTCCAGGCGGATCCTGGGACAGGACAATGAACAGCCCACCCACTCTCCTTCAGGAAGCTTCTACTTAAGTTGGGAGTGTAGGTACTAGTCAGTTAATCCAATTACACATTGTGCCAAGTTCTCCCCAAGGAAACCTATATGGCATTATGGGATCAGATAATCAGGTACTGGCCTATTCCCTGTGCAGTATTTGAGCAGCCAAGTAATTAGGCTGGGCAAGTGGGTTAGCATTAGGTACAGATGTAAGTCTCCAACCATCCAAAAGAACAGTAGTTTCAATAAGATGAATGTTTCTATCTTGGGACCACTCAGCGACAAGACCTGGGCTCCTTCTGTTTCGCGGCTCTGTTCTGTGGGGTTTCCATTTCATGGTTCAGGATAGTGACACCCACACTCCAGGCAGTCACATAGAGAAAGGACACAGAGGGTAAAGAGCATACACCAACTATTCCTAAAGCCACCTTAACATAATTCTCCCTTCCTTTCAACAGACAGAATTCAGCTGAACAGCCACGTTAGCTGCAAGGGAAGCTGGGAAATGCAAGTTTTATAGGCCTAGCTAAAAATTGGGATCTTCCTTCTGGTGCAAAAAATAGCAACACTAGTCAATCCTATCTTGTGTTTGCTCTGTGCTGGGCATTTGTTGCCCTTGAGAGTCATGGTAAGTGGGCATCTGAGATGGTTTAATGGGTCTGGACTGATGATGAGGCTGAGGATGGTCCCTGTGATTCCCAAATAGCTCATCTCTGAACCACCTTCTGACTAGTGAATACTTGAAATCAAATACCCACACCACATGACTTCCATCCTACACAGGGAGAAAAGTCACCTGTACCCTGTGGTTGCTGAAGGCCTCCTGAGTCTTCCTGCTGCTCCAAGGTTCCAGTAAAGGCTGAGGTTTCTTCCTCTCCTCTAAGAGAATCAGGCTGCTTGTTGAGTGAATGAATGGATGAATGAATGACCAGAAGGGGAATGTGGGCTGTGAGAAAGGAGAGGAAACTGGTGGGACCATGGTTCCTTCTCGCCAGACCCTGAACTTTACTGCCCATTTGTCTTCTGGGAAATCAGGTTACCTGCTTCCCTCTGTCCACATGAACAAACTGCCCACAGGTCCTGCTTTTTTTTTTTTTAAATCTTGGGCCCCACTTTTCCTCCTTGGGTTGTTTTTCAATCACCACAATTTTGAAGAAGGGTCAGCAACAGAACCCAGGGAAGTTCAGAGATCAGGTTGCCTTCTCCACATGTTTGGAGTTGGTTCAACTGCCATGTCTTTTAGTCCAGCAAGCTGAGGGGAGTTGTCCTGGATTTCTGTGGTTTTTGAGAACTGAGGCTCGATGGGCAATCAGCTCTGCCATTTGGGGCTGAGTCGCTGTGCACACTCAGCACCTTTGATAAACTTCCACGGACCTGACTCCAGGTAGGTGCTCAATGAATACAGGTTGGTGCCCACCATAAATGGAAGCTGATGGAAGCAGACAGCTGACCCCAACTCCAACAGGTGGAAAAACTCTAAGTGTCAACCTGCTCACTAAGCCAGGTTCCCAATTTTCTCCTTTGATGCCCAGGAAAAGCCCTGGTGAGTAGGTGTGCAGATGGAGAAGCGAGTGACAGCTCCCTTTGGTGACTTTCCTGGGAGGCACTGCAGGGGCGCTAGAGGTGGGCTAACTTTCCCAATCCAGGACTGCGACCCCCTCCCCCAATATTAGGCCCTCACTCAAAACTAGTACCATGCAAGGACCCCAACCTGCATCCTCTCTGAACTTCACAAGCCCGTGGCTTTGTTTTAATACAAAAACACCACTGTGAGAGGCAGAGGGATTTGCACTGAAGCCCCACACAGAAGGGGAAAACAGTGCAGAGGCTTAAAGGGACAGATGCAGAGTCCAGGGAACGACCTTCCCCTGGCGGCCCGGGCAACATCCCTCCCCAGCTCACTGGCCCTCGGGCCTCTTTAACCGAGCGGCGGAAGGGGCGGCCGGGGGCGGCGGGCGGCGCCCAATGGGCTGCGCGGAGCGTCACTTCCCGGCGGCGGGAGGCGAGTGGCGAGTGTCGGGCCGGCTGGCGGGGGCGGGGCGGCCGAGGAGGCGTTGGCAGCGGGACCCACGCGGCGCTGCGGCCCGCTTGGCCTGCAACGCTCTCACCCGTGCGGCGGCACGATGCCCTTTGACTTCAGGAGGTGAGTGTGTCCCGGACCCGAGCCCTCTCTGCAGCCGTAGACAACCTCCCCACCCCCCCCGGCTGCATGCAGTCTCCGGTGC